TAAAACATTATGAATAAATGTAGCTGTGCAAATGCTACATATGAGATTTTGCTGTGTCCATACATTCATTGTCATAACACTTAGCATAGTCTCCCATCCAATCCTAAGCAGGCACAATCCTTTTCTTGCTTCCTAAGTCAGATAAGAACAGGTATGCTTAGGGTGGTTTGGTGAGAGACTGAAATGATCTGTATACCTTTTTTGAGCATTCATTTTATAGTTCAAGTCTCAACTGATAGATCAAAACACTTTGAAAGAGTAAACATATATCTATATGTTCTTTCTCCTGACCTTGTTTCTTCTCAACTCTTTATCCCTTCTTATGTAGAATAGATTTAAAAAACATACATTTTGTTAACTTGCAAAGAGTTAATTTCAAAACTACAAAGTTCCTTCAGTCTGCAGAATACATGTAAGTAACTAAGGAAGGTGTCAAGAGAAAGACTAGATAAAGAACAAATGATCAAAATTTAAATCATGAAGATACAGAGACTAATTTTATCTTCAAGAAGTATTTGTTTTCTTCTAACAATAACAACAGAAAGCTATTGTGTATGTAACCACATTTAAATGTAGAGTTTTGGGTGCAATGTTTTATATAATCTCACAAATGAAACTGGGACTAAGGGCATCATGTGACTGTAGACAGCAATGAATCTCAGATATCTGAATATATGTTTATTAATTCTTGCATGGTTATTTATTCTTTATACATTTGAAGGTTTGACTTTCAGATGAGGGAGCATTTCTTATGATAGACACATTTATGAATTGCTCTTTTGTTTTCTAGTGAAATGTAAAGAAACCTTTGAAAATTAAACCTCATGCTGTGTATGATATGCTAGGAAGGCAGAGACATGTTGATTTCCTAGGTATAGTCATAAGCATAGGGATACACATAGGCATAGTCATAGGCAGAGGCACCTAGAAATAGGTGTATAGAGATGAAATAAGTGGTCAACTGCCCTATTCCTTCTAGATCATCAGATATCTCTGTGTGTCAGACTGAGGAGGGCAAAGCAGTGGTGGGATGAATAGGTTCCACAGGACTCCGCTCTGGTCAGGAATGTTGGGAGCATTATAGCTCTTAGAAGATAATGCAAAGAAATTTGGATGGCCCGCACAGAGCAGGTAGTCAGGGTCTAAACTCTAGTGCTCTAATGGAGGCTATACAGTCAGTGACAGCCTGGCTACCTAGGCAGGTCCGAAATCCAGTGGAGAATGTTTCAGGAGAGAGAACTTTTCTCCAAGTATTACAGCTCAGTAAAGACAGCCACTCTCAGACAAACCTCGGTGAAATAACTTCTGTACTTTATTCTATGTGGACAGGGACTATATGAATCTGAGGAGTGGGATGAGATTTGTGGGGTAAGTGTTTTCTATTGGTTGAGTGTGAGATATTAATGATGCTGTATTTGCATGGAAAACTCCAGGTACTATATTAAATGACTGACTGCCCTTGGTACTCTTAGTTGAGTTACATGAGTACATGCTCCACAGCAACTGTAGAGACAGGTAGAAAGCAGCTCTACTGCCTTTCTCAAATCTGCCTCAGCCTCTCCTAGTATAAATATATTTGTTCAGATACTATGTGGCTAATTGTAAGTCAGTCTGATAAAGTACCAAAGATAATGTAACATTCAGTGGAGCATTTACTTCACAGAGATAAACAAAACAAGAGTTCAAATTATAAGAAAGCTGTTAAAAAAACTTCTGTACAAACCCCAAACTTCTACATATCATGATAAAGACCTATTTTAAAGAAAGAGCTAATCAGTTAGGTTTGCTCCATCTTAATCTCTCCAGATGCACTTAAAAAAAGAGAAAACATCCATATTTATTTTTTAAATTTCATGCAAAGTATTTTGATACTATTATTTTTCTTATCCTAACTCTTTAGATTCTCCCTTACTTCCTTACTTACCCAACATTATGCTATAACTCCTTTTAAAAAACATTTTTCCCAACAAATACCACAGCAATTGGGAATGCAGTAGCAAATGATCAGCCTTGGAAGCACATACATACAAATACTGTGTTTGTATATTTAGAAACACAAACATACACACAAACACACACACACACACACACACCTATTTAACAACAATTAATGAAAATCTGGCCGTATATTTGACAGAAAGCAAAGAGAGTTATATGGCGAGTTTGTAGAGAGAAAAGGGAAGGAGAAATTATGTAGTTTTAATCTAAAAAAAAATTAATAAAATCAGTGAAAAAAGCACTCCTCCCCCTTAAAAAGCCCTCATACACAAAACATTATGGAGTCTTATTTGTTATCCCCAACTCCTTACTCATCATTATATCTGACTTGTAGTGTGAGTGATATACCCAATATCACTTCACTGAAGAAAACCAATTTTCCCTCACCCAGCAGCTCTCAATTACATATAGCTTCTTGGCAAAGGATGGGAATTTGTGCCCACCTGTCTCTCTCCTTCTTGCCAGTGTTTTGTCAGGCATGAGAGTGTGCAAGTCTTATACATAATGTCACAGTGTTTATGAGTTTGTATGTATGTCTGCTCTGTTGTATGTGGAAAATGTTTGTTTCTTTTAAGTTGTCCACCATCTCTGGCTCTTAGAACCCATCTACCCTCTCTTCCCCCACATCCCTGAGCATTTAGGAAAGGATTATGCTATAGATATGCTTTTGAAAGCTGAGTACTCCGAAGTTCCTCTTACTCTACATGCTTTCTAGTTGTGAGTCTCTTAGTTAATTACCATCTACTACAAAAGAAGCTTCTATGATAAACTATGTGTGTTTTCAACTTTATTTTGGGATTTTTCATATCATTTATGCCACTATTTCACCAGAGGACAAATCTAGAAAACAGGTTGTTTTTATATCTTTTTGAGTTCATAATCAGGTGAGATTTATCATTAATTTTCTTCTCTGGTAGCCTGTATTGCACCTTCTAGTACAATGAATACTAAAGAATAAAAGGGAAAATTTCAGTTGAGCATTTTAGGATATAATCATGTGGTACTTTTTAGGAATAATGCCTTACTGACAATGTGAAGGATAGCCTAGATATTTGTAAGGGACCCTAACCTGTGGTGTTTGTAAGGGACCTTGGAACCCTTTGTCTGATAATTTGAAAACTCCTGGTACTGGCTTTTTTATTTCAAAGCTTACAATGTTTAGTTGAGTGCCCCATATTTTAAGGTATATATATATGTATATGTGTGTGTGTGTGTGTGTGTGTCTGTCTCCTTGTCTCTGTCTTCTTCTCTGTCTCTCTCCTCTCTCCTTCTGTCTTCTGTGTGTGTTTGTGTGAGTGTGTGTGTGTGTGTGTGTGTGTGTGTGTGTGTGTATGTATGTTTTAGGAAGCTTCTAAAGTAGTATGCTTAAAAGAGCCCTATGTGTTAGTTGTTCCTCCCCACATTCTCTTCTCCATCCTGCCTCCTATCCCCTTTCCTCTTTCTTGGGAGATCCCTTCCCTCATCCCCACTCCTAAATTGTTATGTAACCTCTTTCAATATTCTAAATAAAACATACATATTTAAAACATAAAAACTAACATACACACACAAGAAAAAAAATGCAATGTTTATCTTTCTTGATCTGGAATAATATATTGATACAAGGATTCACAGAGGTCAGGCTGGCCTTGAATTTACTCTAAGCCTGAAATGATGATAAATATCTGATTTGCCTGTCTCCACTTCCTAAGTACTAGAAACATAGTTGTGTACCTCTGTGCCTAACTTTATCATTTTTAACAGGATATGAGAGGATTGTGCCTAAGACTTTCCTTTTCCTTTATTTTGCTAGGCGGTCTATAAGTAGAAACAAAACCATTCATTTGCAGCACTGAATTAAACCTTAAAGGTTTAACATTTTGCTGTAAGCAGAAGAGCTATACAGGGAGATTTGTGCTCCTACCCAAAGAACATAAAATACAGTGTTCTTAGAAGAAACTTTAAAAACAACCTTTTTCAGTAGGAATAAACATGACCATTCCTCTGTGGCAAATGTTGAAAGATATAAGTAGTTTGATATTTCTGTCTGTCTGTGCTCTGGTCATCCTGTTAGCAAGATCATATTTACCATATAGTTGCTTAAACCTCTCTCTCTCCTCATAATCACAAATACTAAATTTTGTTATTATTGTTATCTCAACTGTAAGGAATACCATCTAAAACTTAAAACTATTCATAGTAAATAAGAAATCTTAATATTATTGGACTATAGGCCCCTAAAATTATGAATGACATTGCCATGATATTTTTTTTATAATCCAACTTTAAACAGCCAGTGACACTTTATTGACATCAAACAGGAAAAATCAAATGTCCATCATCCACACAATATGAAAGACATTGAAACTTGCCTTCAAGTAATTATGGCAACCTTAATTTACTGGTTTAAACTAGAGTTACGATTTTCCCCTACTTTCCTGTAAATGGAGAATGCTGAAAACAGCATTCTTATTTTCTTGCCTAAGTGTTTCCTGATAAAATTCTGTACATTATCCATTTCCCTTAGCGTCTTTCTGGTTAATATTTTATTAATTAACTAATACTCCAAATCTTTATTTTAGATGGAATCATTTTCTGTCATCCAAATAAGATTTCTTATTTGTCTTTGTAATCTAAAAATCATCATTCTGTCATACACACACACACACACAAACATATATATATATATTTACATATGTATATATATTTATACATGTGTACATATAGAGAAAGTTATATATATTTAGACTTTTGTTACTGTATATATACAGTATATGTATACTGTATATGCATACTGTATATGTATATATGTATACTGTATATGCATACTGTATATATATATATACAGTAACAAAAGTCTAAAAAGCCTAGTTTTATTTATCTTTTTAAAATTCTAATTATTGTGTTTTACTTTGTTCATTGACACTAGGAAGCATTTCTAAATTCTCTGTTCTCCACTCATGATCTTTAATTGTAAAACTCTGTTTTCCTTGAAATAGTTAACGCACATCCTCTTTTTTCAGGTTCTCCATATCGAGACAAAATCACCATAGCAATTCTTCAGCTACAGGAGGAAGGCAAGCTGCACATGATGAAAGAGAAGTGGTGGAGGGGCAATGGATGCCCAGAGGAGGAGAGCAAAGAGGCCAGTGCTCTAGGGGTGCAGAATATTGGTGGTATCTTCATTGTCCTGGCAGCCGGCTTGGTGCTCTCAGTTTTTGTGGCAGTGGGAGAGTTTTTATACAAATCCAAAAAAAACGCTCAATTGGAAAAGGTAAATGTCACATTTTTACAATTTAAAACACTGATGTTTCTTCTGATAAAACACAAGTAATCTATTTTATCCTACTACCAACCACAAGAAATGCTCTGAGCTGTGGCTGTTAATTGTCTCATATCATTCATTCTATAACTAAAATATATATTTTGTGAAATATATCTGCTTATTTCACAAAGACTCATGATCATCATCATAATCCTTAAATTTATTGACAAACTGTTTAATTGTCAGTTACAGGAAAATTAGGTAACTCTATCTTATTTAGGACTAAGTAAAAAAAGCATATACATATAAAAAAGCATATATATATATATATATATATATATATATATATATAGAGAGAGAGAGAGAGAGAGAGAGAGAGAGAGAAATTTACTTGAAGTTTAGTGCTGTTAAATTAATGGGAAGATATTTTTACTGAGGGTAGAAAAATCAGAAGTAGTATTATAAAAATAGAAATGCTTTGTCCAAAACAATCTCAGGTTTTAAAAACAGCAATTTGAAGCTAGGCAGTAAATAAAATTTAACTTCAGTAGAATTACTCTCAGATTTTTTGTTACAATTTAGCTTGAATTATGAAAACTATTACTAATTTTTCAAATTAATAAGTATATGCAAATTTTGTAGATTTGCCACTGCATATTTTATTTAATGAGTCTTTAGCTTACTATATTCAAAATCTTTATGAAAATGTGTAAAACTGTTAATATGATTTTTTTGTATTTTAATATATTTAGTCACTTGTACAAAGAGTTTTGTATTCTAGTCTGGAAATTTTGTGATCACTTAACTTCCATATTTTTGATTCTATAATTTCTTTGGTCCTATAAGTATAAAGAAAAATATGAAAATCAACAGATAGCACACATCATTTCTGTATATACATTTACATCTCTAGAATTGAAACGAGCAGAATTCTTTTCAATTTTCCAGTGCTGTATTTAGTTTTCTGTATACAGTTGTCTTGGTTTTTGTTTTTAATAAAAGAATATTTTAAATATTTAGTCAATGTATAAGACTGATATTGTCTACTCAGTATTAGAAAAGTTTATGAAGTTTTATTGTTAAAAATACAAAGCAGAAAAATTGTATTTAAAAATATAGTAGGAATGATAAAACATGTAAGATGCATTCTGCTAATATTCTTTGAAATGTACATACCAGAAATTAGTTTTGTAAAAATATAGTTGACAAATACCTTCCTTTAGTTTGAATAATTTAACGTTATAAATTTTGACATACTCTTAAGCATGAAATTTGCATACACAATGTCTTAAAATTTTACTTGACTATAGTACCTGACACCTTTTTAGTCATCTTTCACAACTGAATATTTTGAGAACCCTATTCAGTCTGACATCACCATGTGTAAATTTCAAACATTCATAGAACTTATGTTCTCACAACATTAAGGTTGTGTATTTCTAGTAACATGGCTAAGCCTAATTCTTTTATGTTAATATAAGTTAGTTCGATATAAGTACACTTTTGGTATTGTGGTCTTTTCTATGATGTGAAAATGGGTTTGAAAGCAAATCAAAATGACTAAACAAATTCAAAAATTATCAAGTTTTCAATAGTCATTTTTTAATAATTTGCCAAAACTGGTTTTTGGTTACTTTAAAATCAACCCCATATTTATGAAAGAATATTGGGTTTTCTAGTGAGAATGTCTAGCTATCCATGTGTAATGATTCTCTTAAGCCTATCTTAATATTAAAATAAAACAAATTAAATATAGACACTATTGGAATTGTATTGTCATTATCTTCAGATGATTCTTCATTTGATTTACCTGAGCTCTGTTCTCAATAATTAAAAAAATCATTTCTTTCCATTAAAACTCAAGGAGTTTGGTTATTTAATTTTGAAAGCAAATCTATATGGTTGCTGTCACCTCTAACTGATTCTTCTGAACTCTTCAAGATATCCAGCTTCAGAAATGTGGGATTATTATGACTTTTAAAATTATGAAATAAAATCATATTTAGTGACATGTATAAATAAACAACTACACACTAACACATATTAGTATGCTGGAGAATGACTGTGCTGGTAGTAAGTGAACAACATTTAGCCATGATCACTGATTCTCACAGAATCTACATTAATTTTATAGTGAACTCAGGTTTCTCTAACTCTGCATATGAATCTACAACAAATGTCCCTGGCCATAGTTGCAGGGTTTCCTCTCCCTTCCAGTTTACACACTCCTCTTATCACTTAAGAATATCCTCAGGTTGACAATGTCTTACTTTTTATTTGGACTGGAGTGACCATTGCTCTTCATTCTTCTTTGACTATTTCCACTAGTCATTTTAGGCCAGGCACGTAGGTTAGGCATTATACTGTCCAGAACTGTTTTCTCATGATAAAAAATAATAATGTGTCTGGTCTCTTGTCATAAGCTTGTTTCTGCAAGATATAGGTATATTATAATACTTGTTATAATAGAAAAGAATGTGACTTGTATATTGTTTTATGCTTAGGTAGCTATATGTAGCATCATTTAAAATATTCCTCCTTACATTATGATGGTTTGAAGGTGATTTTTCTCATACAAAAACATGCTCAGATATTAAGCTTATCTTTTGTTTATGAACCAATCACATCTCTCTTATTTCTTAGCACATTGTTACATTTACATTTCTTATTTCAATATGAATCTTTACCTCTATTAGACTTTTCTCTCCTTTAGAATTAAAAATTCTAAATTCATACCATCCTTTTAAAATCTCCGGAATCTTAAGTCATAACTGATGGCAAATTTTATCTTGCCATCTATCTATGATCTATCTATCTATCTATCTATCTATCTATCTATCTATCATCCACCTATCTATGTATTTATCTATCATTTATGTATCATCTATCCCAATATATATATATATATATATATATATATATATATATATAATTACCCTGTATATATCGGTTTGTATATTTCTCTCAAACTGATCTAACAAAGCTATCTTCTTTCTATCATTTAAATTAATAATGTAGCTCATTATAGGAACCTATTTTTAAAAACATAAAATTAGGGATAACACTGTTTATATGCAATTCAGTGTATTAGACTAAACAATTATTGATTTATTAGTATTGATTTCTCCTATTTATTGTGATAATTTTGATTTTGGTTTTACTTTTTCATTTTTCTTGGAAAAAGTCTCAGATTAGATCATATAGAAGTTTAATATTATAATTATCATACTTCTGGATTTTACTGTGAACTATATCAACTTATCAACATATATATATATATTTACATTAATTAACTTGTTATACATTTGTCATTCCTTCAGCTTAGATTTTATTAATAACATTAAAATCAAAGTAAATACTTGTGATGTTTCTTAACAAATATTTTTTAAGAATGCATATCTACAATGAGTTGTTTTGTATGATAAAACAGACAAGAAGCTGTAATTCCATAATCAGTACCTAAATGCTTCATTGTCTATTTTCTCTTTGTCTTTATTTACTCTACAATATTTTAGTATTTTGCGAAGCTTAAGTGAAATATACTTATCTGAGTGAGCTGTAATAAATAATATACACAAATCCCAGTTGAATATAAGTTTGTTATCAGGTAATAGTGTATGAAATACATAATAATAAAATTATAATTATAGATATCATTTAAATATAAAGATCTCATTTTCTTAAATACAAATTAAAACTAATTTGAAAGTATACCTTTTCTTCTATCACTGATGTTTTAACATTAAACAAATGGCAAGTTAAAAATGAAAGATCAACCAAAAAGTATTGACATTAATGATTTAAAAATTATAAATTTTATTTTCAGATAACACCTAAATGGTATAATTTTCAAAATAACAAATTTAATATAGACATATATAGTAATCTTTATTTTAACTTTTGAGATAAATTTTTATTTTTATTTATATTCCAGTATTTGATTTGACCATCTAGAATGACATAAAGAATGTTTTACCTACCTGATTAAATAATTTACTAGTAGATATATTTTATTTTTATTTAATTTTGCCTTATATTTTCTTTGACTTTTGATATGTTATCTGATATTAAGTAACTATTAAATTTGAATAAACATTAAAAAAATATTGCCCATCTCTAACAATGTTCATTTATACTAGGGCCTTGAATCTCCCCTTAAAAACTCCTTATACCTGAAGTAAAATGCATAAAAAAGAGAATGTTGATTCTCAGAGACAAAAAGATATTTCATTAGTTAAGATTTCTTGTTGGTTTTGAATTGGACCTGGGTTCAGTTCTCAACACCTACATGATGACTCACTATCAACTATAACTCCACTTTTAGAAGGAGCCAATAACTTCTTCCAAAAATGGGCACCAAGAATGTAGTGCACAGACTTATGTACATAAAAAAATACCCATACATATAAAAAGTAACTACATAAATCTTGAAATAATTTTGGCTCCTTTTAACTATGATGAGTGGTTTTATAAACACATTTGTAAGAAGTTAAATTTTTATAAAATTATTTCTAACATAATGTTTCTTAACTCAAGCATAAAATCACTTTTTAGTTATTCTGACATTGCCTTTCTTTTAAGAGAACACATAATTCTACCTTATTTTGCTTGTTAGCAAAAATAGTAGAATAACAGTTTGTTGTTCATTTGGTTTATATAAGGAAAACATATTTCATAATGAAGTTAAAAAAAGTTCTGTACACACTGTTTTATTGTATACTCTGTATATAAATTATTGATTTTCTTCAAGTAGAAACATAAAAAGGTGCTGAGAATGTTAGCTTTATCATTTTAGCACTAAATTAATATATATAACGTGTCTGAAAACTAAAAACTAAAAGTGCATGCTCAACTATTAAAATTATAATATACGTATTCTGCCCATAATACATGCATGTGTTAACTTTTCCCAACATGTTTGGAGTATACAGTATCTCAGAACTGTGAGAGACCATTGTTTTAGTCATATGCCACTTAAATCAATGAAGTTCTTTCTAAGGGAACACTGT